CGTAATTAGATACATTACCGTTAGTGTCAATTTCTCAGTCATAATTATCAAATTAATTGATCACATATTATTTCTCGATCAAAAAATATAAATATTATAGGTCACAATTTCTTTATCGATCACAAATCACAAATTTTATAAGTCACGACTTATTTATAGCCACAAGTTATCAAATTAATTGATCAAGTAATATTTCTCGATCACGGATCACAACGGATCACAAGTTTTACGGATCATAACTTATTTTTTACAGTGGAAAATTATCAAATTAAGCCCATGTTTCATATGAACTAAAATTTAGATTTTAATCCAAGTCAAAATCAATAATTGATTTTTAACCACATATTTCATGGGACCTAAAATTTTTCAACTACATATTTCATTATCTTTTATTAAAATTTACCAAAAAAATTGATTTTAACCCCCCACCAAACAGGGGTTTAATTGGTTACAATTATACAATTTTATTGATTACAATCACCCAATAATTGGTCACAAATTTTTATTGGTCATAATCATTCAAATAACCAATCACAAACAATCATTATCCCATCTCATCTCATTTCATCACATTCCATTTCATTCCACCCACCCAACCAACCAAACGCTACACCACTTCACTACCTCCGCCACCAACACTAACACATCACCATCACCACCGTCACCAACAAAAATACCCCAAAATGCGGAAACCACCACCACCGCTGATCAACGCTGCAGCGATGGCATCTCTGTGCAGCATAGCTACAACGATTCTCACAGCAAAGATCGTCATTGTTTGACGATGCTCGAAGATGGTCTCGGTGGCTCACTACAACAACGTTCACAGCGAAGAGAGTAGAGAGAGACGATCTCCGAAGGCGACGACGATTCATGCGTGAGGGAGAGGATAGAGAGAAACAGGAGAGGAAGATAGAAGGAAGAGGAATAAGAAAGAATGATTTAGGATTTGAGTGAAGTGGATGTGGGTAGGGTGCGAGTATATATAAATTAATTTATAATAATAT